TCATCACAGCGCTCAATCTAACGACCCTCGCTTCTGCGGGTCCCCTGCCGTACGATCACATACCCGCCAGCAGGCCGTTCAAGGTCTCAGAGCTCGCACCTTTTGCTACTAACATCCAGTTCCAATGTACGCTTTGCCTCTTCCTTCTGTTTCTCTTACTCTATTAACTCCGCCCCCGCATAGTGTTGGAATGCACCTCGACTCCCGGTCCTCAGATCCGCATCATCATTAACGACGGTGTGGTTCCGCTCACTGGTATCAAGGGCTGCCCCGAACAGAAGGACGGCATGTGTCCCGTGGAGAAATTTGTCGCCGCACAGAAGGAGCTCATTGAAGACGTGGATTGGGAGTACGATTGTCACACACAGTTTGATATCCCACCTGGGCCGGCTTGGGAGACTGTTACGGGCGATACGCCTAAATGAGGAGCGAGGATATAGACGAGTGCACGAGATGGAAGGTCAAGATAACGCGTAGGTAGTAGGAAAGGAATGGCATTGCGCTCTGAGGAGCGTTAGTTTGTCGTTGGGAAGACGATGCACGAGGGGTTGGGTTTGCTTCTTGTGCTCAGTATGCTACGCTGGACAATATAATGGTATACCTCATTTCTTGATTCTTATGTGTGCGCTTTTACAACCAAGTGATTTGAACCTCCAAGTGCAAGACGGACGTGTGAGTGGCTAAATATGTACGTAATTGGTCTGATCGTTGGCAGCGGCGTACGTGAATGGCGACAACCGATTGAAGTGTGGTGCAATACCGACTGAGGGTAAAAGTTGCCTTGATATGAGGTGATGGCGTCGTGCGTCAGTTCACAACCGCTCATGTGGGGGGTTTGCCTTTTTGATGTACACAAGACGAAGGACGTCGTGCTTGAACATCTGCAGGTTTGTCTATAATCGCAGACGTCGATTGGCCTTGATGTTTGTTGAAGACGACATTATCACGAACTCTCTACATATCGGAGAGCACTATTACTTCTTATTCCTACCTTTCACATCACGAAGGAAACTTCTGGTGAATCTACGATTCGCGAACTGACTCATTCGTCTTCATTTTCAATCACAAGATCTGTGAGTTCTTTTCTTTCTCTTCTCCTTTTCACTTCAGACGGTCACCAAAGAATGTTCCTAGTCTACTGCGTCTTTCGATGCTCTGGAATGCGTACCGGCCAGATGCTCTCAGGATTGCCTTCGTCTGCGTCGTAAGTGGTAGCTATTTTAGTAACGAAGGTCTGAATGTTGACAGGGAGTCGGTACTAGTAGGACGTCTTGAACTGAGGTTCGTCGGCGCCGGGACTACGGGAGTTATTATGGCTATTTACGGTTCTGCATGCCATCACGCAGGGAATGGGGTCGTAGCTCTCACCTGACAAGATTGCCTGCACCCGTTGTTCCTTAATGGGACCATGCTACCTTACAGCATGCTTCAAAACGTGGCGTGATAAAAATAACATGGTATGTCTGTTTGTCGTTTATCATGGCCTCTGATAGCCGAGCTACTATTGGACGGGCAAGGTGTGGTCAATCCCCCCGAGGCCGTGTGCATGATGACAGATATGCCACGGTTGAATGGCTATAATTGGAAGACTTCGGTGGGTAGCGATTATCGATTTGGCGGAGGTTGATAGCGGGATTCGGGTCTCTTCATGGCCGATCTGTTCATCATCATGGTGTCAAGCCTCCTCGGGGATGCAAAGATAGACGCCAATATCGTTGAGCAATTGAGGATAGTGTGCTCTTCACGCACACTCGACACATCCTGACCCTTGAGCGGCGAGTGGCTATTATTCATATGATCAGCAGTGTTTTCTGATATTCTTCGCTGACAGCCAGCGCTACGGCGGCGGCACCGGAGCATGAAACCGCGCTAAGTTGGCTCCAAGAACGGGGTCCGTCGCGTGATGGTATACCCTACGTCTGACAGTGACTCCGGGTGTAGTAGCTGATGTCTATCTTGCAAGCCACCTGAATACAAGAGAGGTAACAACGCACTTTCTACTCATGCTTCTCATGTCAGATCTTTACAGGATCGGCGACCGTGTGGATCCCGCCTACCCTCGTTTGAGAGACCAGCTAGTCCCATCCAAGGCCTAAGTTCGAACTCTCAGAGGAGCATCAGCGTCAAGCCAGAGGCGTGATCGGCGAGTCTGGGTGGCATATTAGACGGCCTCAGGAAATACTCCAAGCAATTCACTGCAGTATAATGAGGCGATGTCGTCAACAACAGATGAAAATACACGTTCTGAAAAACAAGATTACGGGCTATTTTTACGTGAAGGGGAAAAATTCACTGCCCAGAGTTCCTCGACTGTTGCCGCAGACCGTCGTTTTGGGGAAGACTGTAGTAATTAACAGGGGAAGGGAGGAGAAGAATGCGTTTTTCACTCTCGTAAAGGCGACATAGGCTCGCGCCCGCGGGAAACAATTGAATCGGCGGTGGATGAAGACGCGTACTGCTAATCTGGCATAATGGCAGTATGTGGAGGTAAGAGCTTCTGCTTTCCCAACCTCCATAGCGTGCGCTGATGACGTACTTCGCAGGTTGCAGGCACTGATAGCCTTGCTTCTGTCTGTGAGCCAAGGCTTCACTGCTCGTGCGATTCAACCCCTTCATCTTTGGCACTTACGTTAACGGGTCATGTTCCCTTCTTTACGTGGATCAACTGTGCAGTGATCCTAGGGTCATCGGAGCTACACACTGCGAAGATCGCATCACCGCCATTGATGGGCTTAACGGGAACTATGTATCTGAACTTCAAGTTCAACTTGGCGTGCCCAGCGGATCATCGATCGGCGATTTGTGATGTTACCATTCGGAACGATCCCGATTCATATCTTACTCCTCGCTGAGGCACCATTGACTCGTCGTGCTCTTTGGGAGGTCGTTCAGCGGTCTGTTCGGGAAGCAGCCGCGTATCCTCGACCCATCGCTGTCCTGCATGCGGCCAGTTCCTAGGTGCGACAGTTCGTTCTCCTAAAAATGACTTTGATGAGAGTAAGTTCTCTCAGGTACTTGTGCAAAGGGACGCCACTTTTGCGAAAAGGTTTATCGTCGTAAACGTAGGATTCCTTTGAGACTCTACCTCTCGCACGCCAGATTCTCAGCTCGGGTTCCCGGAAAAGGCAAAGTCCCGTTCGATTCAAAGCCTATTTTCGCGGGGCGAACTACTACTATATGTGAGCTACTCAAGGAATTGAGAAAGCACCGGACAATGAAATGATAGTCCGCTACTGAATACGACTGTGACAAGTTAGCAAAGTTGTTGCGCGCGTGAAAAGGGAACATCACATGGGGTTTGTAACATTAAAGGTTACTTGTATCGACCCCGGAGAACATGAACAACCGTGCAACACGTCCCTCCGCGAAGCCTCGGCGACGATATCAGCCAGGTTTCTCATCTCTTAACGTAACCTTACCGTGCGTTGCCTGTCAAAGATCTATTTTTGATGTTGAGATACTTACTGATCCTGTCGCGTTAGTGTAAGTCCAATAGAGTGGAACCATTGAAGCCCGAGGTTGGCCATCATGGGGAGATCTACAGGCCGACAATGGCTCTCTGCGACTGTATCCCTCCGACAGTCGTGAGTAAGTATCCTAGGCTACATGCACGTCTCATTGGACACATGGACCAACCGTGTCGTAAAGGACATCTATCTGGTACCTGCATATTCTGATGACATCCATCGAGCACGTCTTGACGCTTTTCATTTGGACCCATGTTACTTACGCTGGCAGGGCCGCTTAAAACAGCAGCTTCGTCGTATATACGCACTGCCCCCATGTATTATTTTCATACCACGGCAGGCTCACCGGCCGACAACCTCCTCTAAACCTCCTCGCCCTCGTTGAAAACTATACTTGATTCGCCGTCAAATAGTCAAGCAAGTGATAAGGAGGCAATCTGGCGAACTCTGTTTTGGCTTCGTGGGTCAAACCTCTCACGACCTTGTCGCCGAGTGAAGTAGCAGCCTATTTAAAGGTGAGTGGTGGATCGGCCCTGATTAGCACGGAGCACGAAGGACTTTCGAACCATGACGGTAACAGAGTACCAACGCTACTTCCTACGGATTCCAAACAAGGACCGGTTCGGGACATTACCCGTCCTTGCGGGGCGTGTTTCTTTATAAATGGCTCTCACCGCTTCATATCGATACGATACGATACAGCGCCCAATGGCACCCTCCGCAGCACAGCTAACTCTCGCAGCCGAGAAGTTGATCTTCGACATCGCCAACAACGCGTCCTCCTCCCGGCTTCTCTCCCATTTCTCGCAGAGCAACAATGTCGTCCTGCAGCATGCGTGGTCGACGTGCCAGAACCCCAACTCGTATCGCTTCACTGGCCTGAACGCCGTGCGATCATATTTTGATCTCCTCTCGACCCATTACGAACGCTCTTGCATGATGCAGCACGCGATACATGTCAACGACTCGACGGGCCGCGTCGTTGTTGCGGCCAGCGTCAAATGGACGTGGAGATCGAGTCGCCATCACTGGCAGGAGGATTATACCTGCTATATCGACTACGACGCTACGCTCAAGGTCGTGTCCTTCATTGTGGTCACGACATCGGCAGAGTCAACGTGTGTCATGCGGGCTGTAGATCCCGGCTCCGGCGGGAAGAAAAAGAAGATATTTGACATGTGGGTTAGTGTTCGCATTCCTTCTTAGCCGTCGTCGACATACTGAAGATCATCTTCGCAGACTGATACATGAACTGGAACTTCTTCAGTCAGGAAACTCCGAACGAGGAGGGGGTCCGCACTGTCGCCACTTACTCAGATCCGTGTCGACTTCGAGCTGCGGTGGGTGGTCAAGTGGGGGACCAGATCTGGTGTACAATGGGCCTTGATCCGTGTCAGGAGTTGTTGAAGATGGTATTCCTATCATCTATGTAGCACTTCGGCCAAGTATTGTGGCGCGTTAGTCAACGCAGTCGAGTTACTGTGTGTTGCGGGGGCTTCATCCAAAAAAAATCAATGACCTCGCGTATCGTAATTCCCTCTAGCCGACTTGAACGACTGACCTCGTCATGCACAACGCATACTAGTGACGCGCTCTCACCACTGAGCTAAGAGGGACTCCTTTGTCGTGGAGAAATGTATTAGTGACTCTTCTTTGTCTCTCATCAGCCTTATCCATCTTCCTCGTTGAACGATTCGTTGCATCCCTTAGCGATGGGTACTTGCCCCAACCCTCTCCTGATGAAGGGAGACATGACCTCCCCGCAAGGCGGAAGTCCTACTATGTGCAAGAAGGGTAGCACGTATTACTGAATGGGTGGTAGTGGTATTTCACGTCGAGCCTAAGGACGGCACTCATATGATGAGTGCAGTTAGAACGTACTCCGGAGTAGAGCGTAACGACATGCTTCATTCTGAGCCAGAAGAGCAAAGCCTAATCTTACCAGTGTTGGTGAATGCCAAGGCGCGTCGCGCGGTTCGGCTGATCGGACCGACCCCGCATCATCACCTCCACGTGTCGTCACCAGACAAGTCTATTCCTATTCTCTCCCGCCATCTCTGCCATTGTCCCGCCTTGGCCACCGCCGAGCGGCGCACTATCATCGACATGGCTCACCGCAGGCTGGTGGGACAGCCACTGCTGTACGCCGTCTCGGTCTTTGCTAGTCTTGGCGTGTTTCTTGTGAGTGATATCGTGTGCATGCAGAACAGTCTCAGCTAACCGCGCCCAGTTCGGATACGACCAAGGGTGAGGAAGCTGGCGCAGGCAGGATCTCTACTGACGATTCGAGCAGCGTGATGTCTGGAATAATAACGGGACCACACTTTATATCTTTCTTCGGGACACCAGGACCCATAGCAGTCGGCAGTATGGTTGCGGTGCTGGAAGTCGGAGCATTTAGTGCGCATTTTCATCTACGCTTTTCCCTAGTACTGACTGTCAATGCGCAGTAACCTCCGTTGCAGCAGGTCGTATAGGCGATATCATTGGCCGCAAAGGAACCCTGTTCATCGGCGCGTTGGTATTCACCGTCGGCGGCGCGGTGCAGACATTCACGACAGGCTTTGCAGTCATGGTAATCGGGAGATTTGTTAGCGGATTCGGCGTTGGCCTCCTCTCGTGCGTGTCAACTCTTACTAATCGCCTATCCGCTTAATCTTTGCCTACAGCACCATCGTTCCTATATATCAGAGCGAAATATCACCTCCTAATCATGTGCGTTCAACACCTGTGTCTCCATCAAATGCTAAGGAACGACTTAGAGAGGCGCCCTGGCTTGCGCAGAATTTACCGGAAACATCTTCGGTTACGCGTTTTCCGTCTGGACGGACTATTTTTGCTCCTTCATTGACTCGAACTATGCGTGGCGGATACCTCTCTTCGTACAGTGTGTTATTGGCGCCATCCTCGCAGCAGGCAGTCTCATCATGCCGGAGAGTCCCAGGTAGGCTGTCAGTGCGCTCCACTATTCACTCTAACGTAAAGACAGATGGCTAATAGACACAGACAAGGACGACGAGGGTTTGCGGATACTTGCAGATTTGCATGGTGGTGACCTTGACGACCCCATAGCTAGAGCGGAGTATAGAGAGATAAAGGATCGAGTTCATGCTTGATGTGAGCCTCGCCCAGTTGACTACTTCTTTCATTTACAATTCTCGCAGAGAGAAAGCGGCGATGGCCGCTCGTATGGCATGATGTGGAAAAAGTACAAGCAGCGCGTTTTATTAGCAATGTCTTCTCAAGCATTTGCGCAACTTGTGCGTACTCAGCTTGCCACCCTTGCACTTCTGAACATGACCGTAGAATGGCATTAACGTTATATCTTACTATGCTCGTACGTATTCCCTACTCCGGCGCAACATTATCGAGGCGTCAATCAACTTGCGAAATCCCTGAAACCTGACTCCAGTCCTCTAGCGCGCGTATTCGAAGAAGCAGGATGGATAGGCCGACAAGCTATTCTTATGACGGGCATCAACGCCCTTATCTACCTCGCCAGTACACTCCCGCCCTGGTACCTCGTCGACCGTTGGGGCCGGAGACCAATACTACTATCTGGTGCCGTGGTGATGGGTCTATCACTCTGTGCTACGGGATATTGGCTATACCTCGATCTTCCCGCGACGCCCAACGCCGTCGTAGTTTGTGTTATCATCTTCAACGCGGCGTTTGGGTATAGCTGGGGCCCTTTGCCGTGGCTGTATCCCCCGGAGGTTGGTTATGATGATAACCCTTTTGTTGGATGGCTTCCTAAATTACACTGCAGATCATGCCACTTGCGGTGCGCGCGAAGGGCGTGTCGATATCGACGGCCACGAACTGGGCGTTTAACACCTTGGTCGGGGAGATTACGCCGTACCTGCAGGAAGTGATTACGTGGCGGCTGTACTTTATGCACGGTTTTTTCTGCGGATGTAGCTTCATATTGGGTGGGTGTCGTTGCTCATTATGCTGACGTGTCCTGATACCATTCCTTGTAGTATACTTCCTCTACCCTGAAACGAAAGGCGTACCGCTGGAGGAGATGGACGCAGTGTTTGGAGAAGGTTGGTTCCTTGCTGCATATTGTCATCCTTGCACTGAGAGCTCTATCAGGGGAAGCAACAGGTTATGCGACATTACCACACTCGACCTCTGGACTACCCGCGCCATCCTCAACTTCGTCGCTATATCCACCGCAGACGAATAATTCGGGGATGAAGAGCAAGGGATGGCTCTCGCGGTTGTTTAACCGGAACACCTCGCGGAAGGATTTGAGAGGCAGGCGGAGCCGTAGGGGCAGTCTGCACGAGGAGGAAGTTGCGTTGACGAGGAGGAGGCCTAGTGAGGATGACGATGAAAGAGGTGATGGGTTTGTGGTGGGAGATGAAGAGGAAGATTATGAGATGTTGGAGAGTGGGAGTGGGCGGAAATGAAGCGGAAAATGTATTTTTTATTTATTCTATATTATCAGACATCTATTACTACGTCGTCATTGGAGGTAAGGATGCATGGGGCCGATATGGAGGTGGTAAATGGCGAGGTATATGCGATGTCACTAGGTCGAGACCATCCGAGGGAATGGTATGGATGAGAATGATTTCCGGGCCATCGAGGTACTGTCCTTAGTTTCTTGTGTGGCGAATGCAGATCTGATAATTCCTTTTCTTCTAGTACTACTTTTCGAAGTCTTGCCTATCGACGGGATTGAACTGCACGTCCTAACTTTTGCAATTTCTGAACGCAACAATTCCAGGCGGCTATACAATATCCTTTCACGAAGTCCTAGGTGTCTGGGCCCTTACGTCGAGCGATTGTCCGAAGTTCAGCTTGACCTGAATAGTCTTCTCTTCGCAGGTCAGATGTGGACTGCAGGCTCGCGTGTACTGGTCCGGGAAGGGATATGCGATGAATTCTTGAAGAACCTTTGAACTACCAAGGGCGCGATCCATTCGATTTCGCCACGCCCCAGAGGTACAATCAAAGGTGGATATCCTCATCACGACCTCCGTTTCTTGACTAATAGTGTTGACTACCAGGGATACATCAATATCGCCAAGAAGGAAGGAGCTCAAGTCGTCGCCGGGTTCGACAGGCCACTACGCCGAGAGCATATAATCGAAGCAAGCAATGATACAAACACTGATTACGGACTTGCCGCCGGTATCTTCACGCAGCGCAACGCCCGCGCGAGTTGAGTGTCCAAATCTTGGCATGAATGTTCCCTTGGGCGGATGCAAATAGTTGGGAGCGTCTTACGAGGAGTATATACACAATACGTACTATTAGTTATTATGCACATTGACTGAAATGTGTAAAAAGACTGAAATCGGGGAGACAGGGCTTCGGCGGGATCCCGATAACTGAAATTGGTACAGCCCCTCCCGACGCACTGTCCGGGCTGACCCAGTGAGGGGAAATGCCTGAACCAAGTGCTGGGGAGACCCCAGACCCCCGAGAAGATATATTCCCACCACCCGAACCCCGAACCCGAACCCCTAACCCCGAGAACTTAGGCTTCGGAACCGAAGCCTAAGTGTAGGGCGCGCTAGCGCGCGCCGAAGCGTCACCAACCTACCCTAACCTCCCGCCTAACCAACCTAACCCAATCCTAACCGGAATCCATCAGTCACCACAAACTGCGCCACATCGGGGACCCTTTGTCCTACCAAATAAGGAAATAGCGGGTCGGGCGCACCTATCGTTCCAATTCTAGTCATTCTGTACAAGGGGTACTGATTTTAGTTGTTTTTTGTCGAAGAAATTGCAAATACAGCATAATAACTGAAAACGGTACCGAATTCAGTCGTTTTGCAGTCGTCGACGAATAACTAATAGTACGGTTTTTGTCATCCCTCTCTTACGAGATTTCAGAGCATGCTTTGGAGATGTAGGTGATTGGTATTACGCCTTGACACGCTTTAACGGTCGTCGCCTTAGATACACGCAAGTGCAAGTTGTAGAACCAACGCTGTGTAAGTAGAGTACAAATCGACATCGGAGATCACGAACGGTACTTTGGCGCATTTATTGTCATATACTTACTCTAGATTCATCAAATTCACTGCTTCGAAGCTGTTAGCGCTCAGAAATTCTAGTTGCCCTGGGCTACCTCGGGGTCTTGTTAGTAGGTACCCATCTAAAGATGTACATCTCAGGACTGAGTCGCTATTTCCAGGTCAGCGCATAGTAACAATCTTACATGGCGAACTGTAGAACCCCAACGGACTCTAGGAGCTCCCCAAGCGAAGATGATAATGGGCATAGGCGGTAATGTTTGTCCAAGTTGACATTACTTAACACGCGTGTGCCCATTGTCCTCTCTTGACGTCTACCGCAATTCCTCTAGCCAATGTGGCCCAAGCTCAGGGTCGGAGTGTGGACCAACTCGATGAACAATGGAATGCACTGACTCAATTTGAAGTTGGTGGCGCCGCCGCGATCACAGCCAAAACGGGTCAAGCCACGCGGGCATGCGATCGCCATTGTTGTTCTTCTCGTTAAATACCGGCCTCTACAAGTTATCATCCTCCACCACCACCACCACCACACACTCTACACCCTCGTCTTCACCATCTCCTTGCCATGGACTCGGAGGTAAGTCAATCTGTCCTCTCCTCTGATTTCACTCATAATGATCTATTTCCTACAGCGCACTTCAGCTAGAGCGGTCACCGCCTACCTGCTCACCCACGGTCCAGCCATCTGTACTCCGGAAACCGAAGAATCATGGAACAAAATCTCGACCGGCCTCTCCAGGTTGACGTTGTTCTGCAACGGTGGAGCATACAAGCACCCCGAGCTGCTGATTCTGGCGCTGCGTCCTCTGGGCGAGCCTATTAACAGCGCCATGAAATCGGAGCGCACACAGCTTTCAGGGGCGGCCATTGACTTCGTCGCAGCACTCGCTGAAGGGCTCGGGAAAGGCTTCGCGCCTTTCCTCACTACTTTTCTGTCTACACTTCTGTCCCTATGCGCGCGCACGAACAAGATTGTCGTGAATCATGCACGCGTTTGCATTCTCGTTATTGTTGAGAACACCCAACTTCTCGCGATATTGCCGCTCTTGATGCAGGCGGCCAAAGACAAGTCGACCTCGTTGAGGGTTATTGCTTGCGAAGCGGTATTGAGATGTCTTTGTTGCTTCAATCCATCGGATCTTGAGAAGCAAGCAACGGCCAAAGATGTGGAGGCCTTGATTAAGTGTGCATCGCGCGACGCCAACGCGGATGTCAGGAAGCTGGGCGGGAGATATTTCAAGATGCGTACAAGTTGTTGTACCCCAATCGTGTTACAAGGTGTGTTGTCTTGCTCGCTACTACAGCCGATGCTCATTGGACGGTTTCAGTTTCACCGCACCACTTACGCCTACAATTAAGAAATATTTGAATGTTACAACAACGAAGAAGCTACCCGCCCCATCGAAAAAGATTCTGTCGTCGTCGACATCCGCCATCCCGACTCAGAGCTCTGCATCGTCTTCGAACGCGAAGGCACATGCACTAGCCAAGTCTACCTCTTCTTCCTTACACTCGACGGCACACGCTCCGCCCTCAAGGATCCTATTCGACCCCCTCGCAACGCAGCTACCAACAATGGCCAGTCCTCGAACGCAATGGCTCCGCCATCCAAGATACCTATTAGACCAACACTGCCTTCTAAGGCATCGACTTCTAGCGTCAAAGATGCACTGAAGGCGGGTCCAACACGGCCTCCCGACCGGCGTCTTCCTTAGCTGAATATACCTCTTCCAAGATGCCTCTTGGTCCACCGTACCGCCCCCCGCGCCCCGTAATGAGCGAGGCTCAACGCGCACCTTTTCCCACAGCTGTCGCATTCCCCTCCAGCGAAGACCATGTCGCCTTTGAATCCACGCCCGCTCCGTTGATTCTTCCTCGGCGAGGACTTCCTGTTCATATACATACGCGTTCGCGTAGCCTATTTGACCGCAAAAGGCCCAATCTCCCACAGTTTGAGAAGAAGCCTGAGCCGTCCTCGTTCAAGCCTACCAGGCAGCCTGCAACGAGTGCGGCGGCGGAAAGTCGGGTAGCAGCTATGAAGGCCTCTTTGACGGTCAAGTCGGACGCGACCGTGGAGCCTACTACGAGTTCGACAAAGGCGGATGTGGCGACTGCCGCCAAAGGTCCGGTCGAAGCAGCAGTCCCCGGTCCTTCGAAGCCAGTCACAGAGAAACCCGCCGCGCTTTCTGCTACAACGCCTACTCTCCATCTGACCAGACAGATGGAACAGCCGACACCCATCTCACTGTTGATGATGTCCATCAAACAAGGTTTCTTGTTGACGCCCTCTGCACCGTAGTGGAGAGGAGAGCGAGAACGTCGCGTTGATTTGAGAAGTTGTGGGGAAGGAGGAGAGGCCCTAAGGGATGCGGTTCTAGTGGGAGATCCTAGGATATTTATTTTTCTTGACTTTCGATATGCTTCATTATTCCTGTCATCATATGTAACATGTTATGTGGTATCTGTTCTATGGATTGATTTTTCTTTGAGGATAGAACTTTTGTAGAGCAGCCGCTCTGTCTCAACCGTCATAGGCTTCTGACTTGCCTGTCTGGAGAGCAGATGTGTACGTCTGTGGTAGGAACGCATGATCGGATGAAAAGAGGAAGTTTCGGACTAATGTGGGTCGACACGCCTTTCATTCACACCGCCATCATCTGCGCCAAAATCGCGCTGGACGCGTCTGTCAGTGGTCTCCCGAAAAAATTACTAGGCAAGACCGCCGTGCATTTCATTTATGTTGTCTCTGAGGACCTGACAGTAAACGACTTCCACGGAAATACGAATACTACAACTGTTGATATTCCTCCTCATTCGTCTCAGATATGATATGAGAGCCCACCAGCGATGCCCCCAACCCTTCGATTGTGGTAACTCCTCATGCGACGACCAGGGGTAGACACCTCTAAACTTCCAATCTGATTCCTCACCCTGCTGCAGAACGCGCCTTCTCACATTTCCTTTTAGGCTGTCGTCATCCTTCGCGACTGTGCTCTACGTTGATCTTTAATCCGTTCCCGCTCGGACGACGGACAGGATTGGACTACGCTCAGTTTTCTTCTTGGCTGTCTCTGCACGCCCTTGGAACCCATTCATGCCGTCGCCTCTCATAGTACAACCCTCAAATTGACAAGCTTTTGTCTTGATTCGTGGAAGTGCCCTGCGCCAGAATTGCGACGAAGCACGTGTGATCAATTGCCCGCTCGGCGCTGCAGCTGGGCCTATAGCTTTTGATACCAATTCGTCTGGAGTCTCCAACGATAGCTGTACCTCCAAGACTTCACGCGCCGCACATCATAGCGCTCGTCGTCTCCCGTCTACGTATCGAGGAGTGTCAGCTTTGACCCGTGCCCGTACCCTTTGAAAGCAATTTTGCTACGTGGCTATGGTTGATTTCCATGTCCTTCTGGACTGTGGAGAACGGTCGCGGTTGCTGTCTAGAACTGGCTTTTGGAAATGTTGGTGTTTTTTCCCTTTCCTTTCATTCCTTTGGAACTTTACAGTGCAGCGCCGAGGCACTAACGCGGTACAACGTACTGGTTAGACTTGTGATTGTGAGCTGCTCAAGGGAATGTGCATCGATCGCAGGATACTGTACTATTACGACCTAGTCTTCATGGGGCGTTACCCGTTACGCATACTCTTCACAGATGTTGCTCTTCATTCAGGGTCCAATTTCCTTATATGGGCAGGCGGGAGCGGCGGCGCTAGCCGCCGCCCCTAAAAATTTCCTTTTTGGGCCTTACCTGGGGCCCAATTTTGGCCGTTACGCGTTATGGTAGCATGAACTCTTCATTTCACAGGTCCCCGTTACGCGTTATACGAAGACTAGACCGTAATAGTACAGTACTTAGACCCTCGACTACTGTAGTATTTCGACCGTAGGTTCACAGGGTGTGACCTGTGACCTCGTGAACTTGTTTGGTGGGATGTTCACAGCAGACATACCACTGTGACCCACTGAAAATAAGTTCACTAAAATTTTCAATGGCAAGGTTATTTCACAAGTTTTAGGCTGAATCTCAGTATAATTAGAGAAAAATGTGCTATTCTAGACCTAAAATACACCAAAAAGGAGAAAAATCCTATAAAAACTGCCACTAAGCTCAATTTGAGAGCAAAAGTCCGATTTGTGACCAATTTGGGGCAGGTTCACAGCCAAAAAAAATAGTGACCTGCTTATGTAACAGGTTCATTTTTTGGGCTCGTGACCTGTGACGTGAACCTATGGTCGAAATACGACAGTATGTTGATGCCAGATGGCACTGTCCCTTGGGCTGAGAGCATCATCTAGACAGTAGATGTACTGGCATCATACTGTACGAGTCTAAAAGCTATATACTAGTAAATGTCAGAATGATGAATTGCTTGATTTTGGCCTTGAGAATTTTGGAAACTCAGGAAAGGGAGACTCAGAAACTGCGCCACATCGAGATTCAGGGTGGTGAAGTAAACCCTTGGTTTTGATACACCTCGGGTTTACTGCGGTTAGTAACGGTACTGTACGGTTTCGACCGCATGTTCGCATAACGCGTCACGCGGGCACGCGAACCGAACTTAGACCAAAAGATAACGCATCACGAACCTGTTTTTAAGGGCGCCTAAGGCCCAAAAAGGCAATTTTGGCTCCCACCTACGGCGGGAGCGTCCAAATATAGTAATTCCGGGCCTTGTGCCTGGAAACGAACTTATTTCCTGTAAGTTCGCAGCATAACGTGTCACATGCCGCGAACTTACGGTCGAAACGGTACAGTATTAATAAGGTATTGAAACCATCGGGGGTCGGGAGGTCGGTTTCGATACCGGCACGTGACGTTTCACGTGAGGGCGCGCAGGTGCTGAAACCGGCGGGCCAGAGGCGGGACGAGGGCGGCGCGCCGCTGCGCCACATCACGTGGTAAGAAGCACGTGCCGGTATCGAAACCGTTAGTAACCGTTTCACAACCAGGGCCTTCCGGGGGGTCGGTATCAATACCGTTACTAACACCCTCCGGAGGTTTACTGTGCCACCCTATCGAGATTCGAGATCAAGGGGGTTCCGGACTTAAAGTCCGATACACCCGGTAGGTAGGTAGGGTCAACACGGAGGTCTGAAAAAAGTTTTTTGTACCACCTTAAATATGACAATAAAGGACACTTAAACAACTCTTAGGACTCCAATTGAGTCTTTAACTAGTGAAAAATACTATACATGTAACATATTTCCTATGCTAGCTTCAGTACCGGGTCAAGCCAAGGCTGGGGTAGTACCCGTATGGTCCCGTAAGTTCTCTGAGATATAATTAGTCCTAGTTTCAATGCTCTCAGTAACTGAATATATCAGCTACAGGTGGTTCACAAAAGTGTCATAGACAAATTCTTGATTAAGGTGGCGCTCGAGACCCTAATTAGGCTGCCCCACCAAAGGCGGGATCACGTGCACTTACCATATATGGTAAGTGAGGTAGGTAGGGTCAAGCTTGAGGGCTGAAAAAAATTAAACAGCCCAGTGTACAAAATTATAATTTTGGAACCCCCTTGTTCGAGATTCCTCACTCAAAACAGTCTCAAAACTTATGCTGAGCCAGCAATCATGCATTAAGGGGAATCGAACCCCCGGCGGGTCGAGTACAAAGCTTCTTGGAATGGCAACGACCCAGGTTACCACTACCCCATTAATGCTGCACTCATGTAGTAGTAGTAGTATTACACCACATGGGTCCCCTCGAGGACTGGGCGGCCAACAAATTAACTAATACAAATGAGAACTAACTGAATGTTAAAAATACTTTTACCCCAAGAACTAACCGTTGTCGCCATCATCGCGTTGGTGTCGGATGTCAGCGTGTACTTCTGAGGGCAGCAATGACAATGCCCTCCACCGACGGGTCACGGCAGGTGTGATAGATCCATCGAGCGACGACGGGAGCCGCCTTCCACTCGAACAAGACAGCCCTCAACCAAAACAACGCGGCGTCGTCGCTGAAAGAGACCGGCACAAATTGTGGGTGAGTTGTCTGTGATAGGCGGTTGAAGAACTCCGCGCGAATGAGGTTCGTGTCGTTGTCGGCAGTGCACTGGACGAGCATATGTTCTGGTGTCTCGAGGTGATTGTGACACATGCGACAGTAGAGATCGGCACGAGTGGGTACCCGGGTGCACCCGCCACCCGTCCGGCAAATACTTGGTACCCAAAACCTGTACTTGCCACCCGCCAAAATACTTGCCACCCGCAAGTACTTGACCCGCGGGTCAAGTACTTGGCAAGTACTTGCCCGACAGGCAAGTATTTGCACCATCCGGGTGCGCAAGTACTTGCCACATTCAGCGTATGATTCGTGCCCGCCGCCGACCCCCGAGCAATTGCGCGGGGGCTAGCGACGTGCACGATACAAATTGCTGAAGCCCCGGCTACTTGCAAAAGCAGCAACCGGGACTCAACAAAGTGTAGTTGGTGGAGGAGGGATCGTGGTCGTCGTCCTGAGCATCGTCGTTGTCCTTCAATAGATTTCAGTAAGAATGCAATGAGAATATAGAAACACGTACCGTCTTGGCTGGAAGCGTCCGCGGCGCTGTCCCGCCCAAAAGTCCTGCTGCTCGCTCTGTTGCTGGGTGAGTATACAACGGCGCGGGGGCTAATTGAGCGTCGCACCTGAGCCCGCTGTTCCAGAATAGGGCGGCCTCATCGGGCTTACACGGGACAGGTCGTGGCCTAGACGGCGCCGTCGCGAAGACGAGCGCCAGCACACAGAAAACTGAGTCCAAGGGCAGCAGCAACCAGCATTGTCGTCCAAGCGCCCGCGCCCGCTGTGCACCGGTACGGCGGCCTCATCCTGAGGGCTTACGCGTCGGGGAGAGTCGTCGGATTGGTGTCGTCGCGAAGACGAACACCAGAATGCGCCCCGGAACGTATCCGAGGGCGCAGCGGCCGGCGCGAAGCCAAACCGCACAGAGAAAGCAATCCAGCAGAGAGAGAAGATATCAGAGAAGCCCCAGAAATTTTTCTGGGGCCGACGAGCACGACGCGAACGTCGTGCTGTGGTGGTAAGAGAAGAAGGAGTCAGATCCAAGTGGATCGATCGTTATCCGGCAAGTGCCGGGACCTTCGGCCATCTCGGCGATCACCGAAATTCTTCGGCAACGTCGTTTCTGAGCGACGTTGAGGTCGTTTGACGTCAAATAAATTTGGATAAATCATGTATAATATATATCTACCTATGTACAAGTACTAGGCAAGTACTTGTGGCAAGTACTTGCCTCGCCGAGCTCGTACTTGCCACCCGCGGCACCACCCGTGGGAAACAAGTACTTGCCACCCGGGTGCCGGGTGCGGCACCACCCGGGTGATCGAAATACTTGCCGGCACCCGCAAGTATCTGCCACTCGTGCCGATCTCTAATGCGACATTGTTGTAATTCCGGTGCTGCGTGCGAGTTACTTGAGTGAATGCCGTGGAGGTTATGTGCCCCCAGAAGGATTCTTGTCATTGCGAAGCGGTGGTCGGCAATCGACACGCTAGATAAGTAATGACGAATGCACGCGGTGATGTGTTTTGGCGGGCCGTCCTCCTGAGGCTCAAGACGACCGTGCAGTAGATATAGTGAAAGTGACTGTTCGAGTCTAGAGCATGCCACGAGTCTAAACCCGGGTCCGGCGGGTCGAGTTTGCGCGAGTTTGCATATCTGAAGTCCGGACTTGCAACTTGTCTCAAACTCGTGAGTCGCGGGTCTAAAACTCGTGAGTTTGCGAGTTTTTGATGAGTTTTGAGCTATAACCCACTCATATCCCCTCCAACTGAGGTCAAACAAGTGCAAACATCATCTCTATGGCCTATTGCAGCTTTGTTGAATCATATTCATATGTATAACACAGTTTATATGCATAATATTATAGCTCAACTAACTACCGGAACCTGCGCAAGTACTTGGAGAATGCTCCAACCTCAAACCTGCGACTTCCGCGTACCCGGGTTGCGAGTCGCGAGTTGCAGGTTACCTGCGAGTTACCTGCGCAGGCCGAAACTCGTGGCATGCTCTAGTTCGAGTTTTGTACAACGCACAACTTCATATCCATTTTGATAATACTCAACATTCCTACGTTCTCCTCATCTCTAATCTATGTATTACCGCTACTAGTACTACAACTTCACTCCCTCCGCCACCGCCTTCGCCCTCACCTCGTCCCTCAACATCGCCACCCTCGAATCCAGCCTCGAGCTCAAATCCACCGACCCAGGACTCGCGGCCATCGCCGCATCTAATAACACACCAACCTCCTTCAACGTCGCCGCCCATCCCTCGGCTTCACCCCCACTCGCGTCCTTCTCCTTCAATATACCCACCGCCTCCTCAAAGATGGCAACGCCCGGAACCCACCCGTCCTTCACCTCGCCGCCCTCCCGCTGTGCTTCCTTGAAGAAGGGCCGAGACGCACCGTACGCGCCTAGAGTGCGCAGTACAATGCCCAAGAGCAGCGCACGAATCGCGCGCTCCTCCGCTGTATCCAGAATCGGCCCAGCTGAAGTCGCGCCATCAAACCCGGCCACTGACACTTGTGGCTCTAAACCTGCCCATTCCTTCACATGTCCCTCCGCCACCTCTCGACTTATCCGCGAATGTGTATTCCAAAACACGGCCATCTCCTCTGCAGGCGAGATTGCCATACATGAAATCACGTCCGCATTCAATCGCGCTGATTTAGCAGCGTAGAAGGTTACTGCCAGCGATGAGTAGGGAATATATAACAGCACGAAAGCTTACGCTTTTTCCGAATGAGCACCTCTACAGGCAATTCTTTCCCGCCCACCTTGCGCCCATTCCGCTCTAGCAGGCCCGGAAGTGCGTCCCAAAGCCCTCTAGCCTTTGTCCTATATTCCGTTCGCTGCTCCTCCTCGCAGGCATCGCGGGAATTTGCCAGCGCACTCCAACACCCACAGGCAATGAAATAATATGTCGCGTGACTCCAGCCATTCAACTCCGTCATACGCACGAACCACCCCGCCGCCTCCTCATATCGCCGGTCACCCAGCAATGTCCACGCCAGCTCAAAGACTAGCAGCGTATCCGCCTGTCGCCAACGCGTTACAGGTTGGAGCGGGGTCTTCTCCTCCGTCTCGTCTGCCTTCGCATCGACGTTTGGCTTCTCTTCGGCCGCGTCTCCTCCCAGTGGTGGCGCCAGTACCTTGCCCACACCACCATCAACACCACCCAATCCTCCAACTAACACTCCTACCGCCTGTCCCGACTGCCCCTCCATCCTCAATATCTTTGCTCTGTTGAGCACCCATAACGTTCCCGTCGGATACCGCCCCTCCACCTTGTCCACGATAGCCCTACGAAAAGTGTCAGCAGATTCAGAGAGTAATGACAGTCCGGATGGAAGACTGTACACACCTATACTGCCGGACGATATGAGCCTCATCGCATTGCCACCCGCTGAGGAGTAATACGACCCCATGATAAGTCATGAGCACCAGTCCCGCAAATACGGAGTGCTGGACGCGTGTGAGATGGGCGTAGAATTTTGAACGCAGCGAGCCACATACCACGTCGTTTTTTGCAGCTGACACTGCCAGCGCTCTAAGCGCCAACGCACGGTCATGTTTAAACCCGAAAAAGCCTACGACAGATCTGGTTACGCGTCAGCAAATAAACACGGATAGACGACAGAAACCTACTGAACCCTCTTGGGCAGCAGCGAAAACACTAAATTAAACAGTCCAAATCCAAATGCCGTCCCAGCGAGGATCATCTCATCTACCGCCTCGCCTCCTTCACCTTTAGTCGATATTATGCTGGTCGGCCTCGACTTGGACACCGGGACAGCCAACGACGAACCTCCCGTCCACTTGCTAAACATGCTTGTGCTCTTCTTCTCCTTACTCTTAGACCCAGTCTCGGTCCCAGTCGACGACGTGGTCGAGGAAGCAGACGTAGCGAACGAAGTAGCCAGCGACTCCCCCGAGCCCTTTCTAGACACTGACGGGGTGCGGTACCCTTCTAGTCCCTCTGGGAACACCTCTTTATACAATTTCGTGAATTTGGAGTGGGCGCTGGTTGCAATTAGCATTTGACGCGAACTAAGGAGCATGCGCATACCTATTCAACGCATATATGCACTGTAAATATCCCATATAGCTCTCGCTCAACGCGTTCACGAGTCCTGCGAGAACGACCGCGTCTGCATTGAGGATTTCGTATTCCAGACCCACGTCAGCGCCTATATTGAAAGTGAGCAAGACGAAACAGCTGCCATGGGTAAAACAGCTAGCCTTTTGCGGAACCGCCGCCAAGCCAAGAACCGCCGCCGCCCATCGCCGCTTTCTTCGCTGCCGCAGTAGACGTTACGGCCTCGTTCAACACTCGCGCCGCATCCTCCATCCGTTCACGTTCCAGTCCAAGCGCGGCTTCCAAGAACACTGCCACGCCCAATCCGAGCTGGTGGAATGGTGAATCCGCCACCTCTACCTCGGTGTGTTAGGAGTGGGCATAACTAAGCGGGCCGTAGGCGTACCAGATGCATCGGTCCCCGGCGATACATCAACCACGGGACGCTCGAATGTACGGCGTGCACCGGGAATGTCGTTGGCGAAGAGCTGGTCGAAGCCGCGCGTGGCGCTTATCAGGAGCTGTGCAGACGTGGGCTTCGCCCGGGAAGTAGATGTGGACATGGGTGCTACGTGTTGCTCGTGCAGAATCTATCGGGTATCCGTCTTGCGTCGCGCAAGATGCTCCGTGGCGCTCAGTCGTATCGTGGCAGGAGGGGAAAGAGGCAAGCTGTGAGACACGGGGAAATGAAATGGCCCGTGACGTATGTCAGATCGCGCCCGCGTAAACATGATTACACAGAGGCACACCAACGGCGAACTGCCCGATCACTGCTGCGCCAACGGAAATCGGGTAAAGTCCTTTTTTAATGGAAGGTATACAGCGGACTCCAAGCTGTGGCGCAGGCATTAATGGGGTAGTGGTAACCTGGGTCGTTGCCATCCTGGTTTCCTCGTTTCTCGACCCGCCGGGGGTTCGATTCCCCCTTAATGCAATTCCGAAGTTTCAGGATTTCATTTTTGTTGGAGAAGCTTATTTCCAGCTGGTTGGCCTCACAGTTCATTATTGACATCGGACGACGGATCGCAGTCATCCTGTATGCCCCAGGCCTCAAGCTGGCAAAGTTTGTCATTCGACTTAACGCTGACTAGATCAACACGAGTTGCAGGTGGTCCTTGTTCTCGAGGTTTTCAGACTTCAGTCCCGCCCTGGAGAGAACATCTCTGCAACTTCCAGTGTAATTCTGTCCCGAAGAATCAAGTAACAACTGTTACCAAAAAGGTTTCCTCCCAGTTGAAATCCTACATTGTAGACACACCTAGCTAGTCATCCTACAGGTTGGCCTACAACATGCATGCATCTAAGTTTATATAAGTATTAATACAATGGATCAACTTTTGAAAACAATGGGATGAGTGTCCGCACAAGTAGCATAGATTCCACTGCTTAGATCACAAAAAGCCTCGCCTACCTCCCCCGCTCGCCGACCAGTCGATCCCACTTGCTCAAACACGAATATCCATCATAATCAAAGCTGCGCGCCCGATCGCAGCTACACCTTCCTGCCCGCCACACAGCCTCGTCCCGCGGGCAGTGGGTGTAGGGGTTGTGCTCGTAGCCTGCGCGAGTGTCAGCTAGCTCGAAGAAGCAGCAGCAGAACCCGCACCTATATCATCAAAGAAATGCACCTGTTGCTTGCTCGCAAAGATGTTCGCCGCGATCGAATGCACAGGCGCGTCACCCCAACGTTCATAATAGAACCCGCCTGGTGAAATGAGCGAGAGTAAACGAGAACACGGCCAGCATACCTTGCTTCTCGAGATACGCAAAGAAATCCTGGTACGCGGCCCCCCGCCAAAACTCCATGTCCGCGATTTCAAAGTTTGACCAGAAATGGCACAAATTATACGTCTCGCCGCCATCCCCGCTCTGAAAATTCATAGCATTATCTTTCACGACGTGTTCGGGATGCAGCCGCATAAACTCCTTGACGTGCCCCCATAGCGTCGGGATCGTCTTTTCAAATTCGTACATGGTTATCGTGAATCCTGCCTCATCTCATCAGCATGACGTTAATTAGAATGTTACATGCCTCACCATAAACCTTCTTATTCTGCTCCATAAAGACAAACGGATCGTACTGCATGTCGCAGTGAAAATGCACATCAGGTTCGATTCGCCAGTACCAGCGGTACGGTAGTAGCAAAGGGTGCTTGAAGAAGAAGCCAGAGTTGAACCGGCACATGTTGCGATACGCGACGCTGCCTTAGGCGGCGGTGTGAGCGGGGAAAGTCATAAACGCCAGCGTCACTCACCGGCATATATGATCCCATCCTTGACCATGTCTGCCCGCGCCTTAGCCGCCCGGTCTTCGTCTATCCAGTCAGGCTGGTACCAATGCTCCGGCGGTATAACCCCAAACTCCATCTTTGCCGATGTCAACACTGATACGCGTCTACACATTATCAGTCCACAAACGAAAAATAGGATAAAAGGACGCACTCTTTGAATTCCTCGGTAAACTCGACCTCGTTTAGCACCACGTAAGGGTACCCAAAACGGCGATTAAAGCGCTCCTCCATCTCCCGTATGCTGCGCACCGTGTTGTCGATATCGCTGTTACGGGCCAAGATTACGAACGCAGCGTTGGCGCGTGCGGTGGTGTTCCCCGGAATAATGGATTCCAAGTCTTCGCCTGCAATAAGGGATTCCGAGTCTACGGTGGGGGTAAGATGATGATAGAGTACTGGATCGTGCATACCAGGAGGAACATAGTATTCTAGCGGAACGCTCGTCGGGTCGACATCGGGGGAAGAGAAGAAATCCTTGGCGGCGCGCCCGTATGGCTCGTGGAGGAGCGTGAGGGTGTAGTGGATAGTGATCTGTGGCGTACATGATAGACGTGTCACAGGCGAAGAACATAGAAACGTACCACGACGCCGAGAATCAAAAGAATATACCGCGCCGCTGTGTTCATCCTACGCTCCTGCCGTCAAAATCGTGCCTTGCCGTGAATAAATTTGGCAGCGGTGTATAAACCGAACCAAAGGCCTTATCGGCGCAGTCGTCCCAAGCAAAAGCCCACGGTTAACCGAGAAAGAAAAAGCAAGAGCGATAGCCACGACAACACACAGAAGTTGCAAGTGCGGAAGTAAGAGACAGAAATGAGGGGACACTTTCGTCGTCTTACTCGCCCTGACCCCTTTCTGCGGCTTCTTCTTCTTACTGGTGCCGTTGACAGCTCCGATTAGTTCCGAGCGTAACCGGTAATTCAATATTTTTAGATGATCGCGCCGTCGCGCCTATGGAACAACGGCTTGGTGTTGTCTTCGTGACAGCAGTGTCATGGATATCGACGGCAAGACTTCAAGACATGCGCCGGCCTTGGAATCTCTGGCTATGTTCTGGGCTTTCAGACAACGCCTATCGGCTGACTTTGCCACGACTACTGATGATAGTCTGCCTAGACGGCTCTGACCAGGTTCAATGCGTACTGGTACGTCTTGTCAATGTTGGCCGAATTTGTACCGACGCTAAGCTACATTAGCGTATCTAACCATTTCCCCACGACCAGCTGGCTTGGTAAGACGTCTTTCACTTTGCTTTCACTTGTCGATGCTTGACTCTGACTGATTTGATTATAACAGCTTGGCTGTGACTTTGTTGCCGGTTGCCTTCAGCGAGTTCTCTGGGGCATGTCCGTATGATATCAATGTTGCCGACATCTTGGTCGACTAACCGTTCGTCCAGGCCTTCATCCTCGCTCACTCTGCCAACAACGTACGTCTCCTCTCAACTGTTTAAACCACTCAGCTGTAACTAGACTGTTAGTTTACATCAGCACTGGATTTATCACTTGGCTGTGTGCCGGTGAATGATGACTTGCCTTCGCGCCCCGATTAATTGTATGTCTACATGATGGTGCTATGTATCACGGACCATTCAACTCTGTCTTTGTACTCCCGCTGGACGAGGCTAAGGACATCAACACATGAACGACCGAGAAATGGCTGCCATTAGCGCAGCCGCCGTAGCCAAGGAATATCGGGTTCTGCCCCATCTTGGTGAGCTGCTCCTGGCGGTCTTGCCCATACAAGTTGATCTTATCATGCTTCACAGATTACCACACTGTGTCTACTATCAACGGGTGGGCGGCGCTGCAACATTTAGTCCATCCCCAGATACTCATTTCGCCTGGAGACCCTTGGGAAGGGATTGGGACGAATGTAGGCGCTTGTCTTCGTTGCCGTTGAATTGTTCGGCCAGGCCGAAGGATCTGTCGCATCCTAGTTGGATCCTAAAGCACGGAGAAGAGCTTGATTTGTACACGGGCGAACTGAAGGCTAGTTTCCTATTTCCTCTCCAGGCCTTTCCGTGCTCACGTTTGTTTAGACACCCGATGCTCCTGGACGATATCTCGGATATTGGCGCTTGAAGAACTCGATTTTCCACCTGTTCGGAACAAGCATCTGGATGGAGTGAGTTCATTTCTCTTCCTACTTGAAAATTGTCTAATGACAGTGCAAGTATTACCGTCGCTGCATCTTCGATGTCGTTGTCTTCCGTCATTGTCGACCACCGTCACCGTCACTGCTGCTTCTAGGTCGCCTAGCTCTGATGACATCTCCCTTGACGGGTCCGAAGATTTTTTCTCTGAAGCGTCGTTGGTCAGTGGTCTGTCGTCTGAGGATTGGATGCGCGAACACTCCTCCGGCCTCGGCCGCTCGTGAAGAAGTACCGGGTCATCGCGGATATCCCAGTTACATGTATACGGATTTGTCCATCTATGAGCGTTTGTGCCCGTCTGTATACTCGCAGGTAGCACCGTTCCAATCGCATCTACAGCCTTTGCCGGTACGTTGGCCTTATACTGGTGCTTGCTCCCAAAGTTGTCTTTCACTGGGGAGAGGCTGATCTGTTGTTAATCTAGATCGTTTCTTCGTCAGCGCCAGGACTGTGAACGGGTTGCGAAGACTCAGGGACGACTCTCTCAAGACGAGTCAAACACAGCCATCCCGGCGACGCTTGCGTCGCTCCTCTGCTCACGGTGATCAAGACCTTTGGCTGGACATGTCTCGACTTGCGTTTGACCAACGAATGCAAAATAGATGATAGGTACTTACTTATTCTCCCTCTATTCCCAAAGCCTTACAATAGATCTAGTCAATGAGTTGTTGTTTTGCTCTGGACATCAGTAAGTCACGATTCCTTTAATTAGAATCAAACTTGACACTGACTTGACCCCAGGACTCCAATAAATAGTACATGTCCCTTTGAAGACGGAACACTTGACTACGTGATGGTGAAGCCTCAGTTTGGCTACGTGCCGGCTGAAGTGGAGACAGCAGCGGCTGTTCGCGATGCCCGGGTGGTGGGGACGTGTCCTCCGGAGACGTCTCCAGTAATTCATGCCACTTCCTGAAGCTGCCGATGAAATGACGCGGAATGCATGGCTAAGCTCTGGAAGCAGAGCGCCCAATGTGATTTCCGGCTCGCTCGCTCGCCGAACATCGCCCAGACTGAGTGAATGCCCGGCCCTGCGCAGATAATATCATGTTTCCGTGGCCGCAGAGCATTGAGTCAATTCAACAATAGCACTAAAGTCACATAGACGCGACGGTAGCAGAAATCCATCACTGGAGAGTCACTGGCGCGAATTGAGAAATCGAGCCGTATCTGTTTGTAGGTGTGGTGAATTCACCTCATCGCAGGCAGCCGAGATTGAAGCTCTTATACCACCCCCAACACCTCGATAAGAGGCCTGTTTCCTGTAGAGGACTGTGCGCGCTAGAAAGCAGAGCCAAATTAGCAACCCATAACTTCAAGCAGAATAGAAAACTATCGTACCGTTACAAGCCTCTTGAATCCCAGCCAACACGACGACATGAGAATGGTAAGAGGCATCGTCTTCGAGTCTACACAGTGGAAATCGAAGAGGAAAAGTTCTTCTTGGTGGACAAACTAGCTGTCGTGGTTTCTCTGTGTCGACGAGGA